CTCATCGATGCTACGATGGATATTGCAGGGCAATAGTTCATTGCGCTGCATTTCATATTTGTTTCTTCGCCACTGACTGGATTTATCATCTTAACGTTGAAGTGATATCCATCGGCACCCTCCCAAAAAATGATTGCCGTCTTTAGAACACACAACATATAATTGTCCATGTGAGAAGCAATCCGTGTCTAGATCTAAACCGCACAATTCTAAAGATTGGCCCTGAGCTTTGTTGATGGTGATTGCAAACGCCAATCGAATTTGAAATTGCAATCTCTTAAATTGAAATGGCATATCCGTTGGAATCATAGGAATGCGAGGAATGAGGACATCTTCACCTTTAAAATTTCCTGTCAAGATTGTTGCTTCTACGACGCTGCTCATTAATTTTTTTACTGCAAGCCACGTGCCGTTGTAAAGCTTTGGCTGGTTGATATTTCGCAACATGATAATTGGCACGCCGATTGCATGTGAATGTAATGAATAGGTCTGGACGCCCGTAGTGACGAACATATGGAATTGCATCTTGAGCGTATTCATGCATATGACGTGGACTGCCTGTATATGAAGATAGCAAAATCGTTAGTCTTCCAACGTTAGCTGTATTACCATCATTTACAACTGCATCTCGCAAATGAACGTATTCTTCAGAGCGAAGCTTGGTCTGATTCAAACGGATGAATATCAAACGTTCTGTTTCGATTTTTGCATACATATCTAAGATGTATTGGTGAAACAATTGACGGCATTTCAAAATGTGATTGTCGTCATTCTCTCGAATCATTAATCGGTATGAATAAACCAGACAATCTCTATATCTGCACAGACAATGGAACAACAAAAAATATTGTATACCCACAAGCATTGTGAAATTAAACATATTAGAAACGTGTGCTTTCTCTTTTCTTTATTTTCCATTTAACCAGACTGAGCCACAGCAACGCGTGGCTGGGTACAGCTAGTATTAAAATATAAATAAAAAATTTTGAAATGAGGTTTCTGATAATAATGCTCCCCAGTAGTTCAGCAGTGTCTGAGGGTATACAACATTAAGACAACACGGATACTCATGGTAGGTACAGCACAAATAGCCCATCGTGTAACATTGTGCTTAATAAGCAAAACAAACAGATAATATAAAATGTATACTTTGATAAACTTTAAATATAACAGAAGTATAACATATATGAACTTGAGTGTTGTTTTAGTAATGCACAAGTAGTTGTTTTTCACTTGTTGCTCAAATTTTATAAAAGCTTTCTCATGGATCTTCAAAGTTCCTCTCACACACACGTATGAACAGAATTACATCTATTCTAAATTTTGGGGTCAAAAGGTTTATGAAATTTCCAACAGGTTAGGATTATCATTCATAATTTTGAAACTTTCCATTTTTATCAATTACTTATGAAATTAATTTTCATGGTTTCCATATTGGTTGTTTATTTCTTCTTAGCTACTTTTCTAACAAAAAAAAAACCCAGGATGGATGGTTTTCAGTCACCTTACACTTTATGTTTATCTAATTTGATACCTGTGGAAAGTTGCGCCTTTGTAGCCAATTGGTACTCCATCTCTTTTGTATTCTCCAGTGCAAAATTGTCTGAAGAAAAAAAATATAATGAGTATTAAACTTGTAAGTATTGTACATACAATACTTATATTTTATGTAATTAATGATTACCTTAATATATATACACATGAGCCATTTGCAATGAAATCTATTCACTTTTTAAAACATACTTCAGTATCAACAACAAATATATAGAGCAGCTCAGATCTTTATTATACTTATTCATAGAAAAATTGAAGTTCCAAATTCAAAACAATATGCTTTTATAAAATATAAAAAAAGATGTATTTATTTACTCTGATTTTACACTATCATATTTGAAACTAAAAAAAAAGACAAAAACTAATGAGTCATTTAATGCATAGATGTATTTTTTAACTATATCATGATATGTAATTAAAAATCTAAAATATATCAATTGACCATTTAATCTGGATAAATCAAGATGGCATAAACACCATACCTAAAATTTTCTGCAGTTTTAGGGACAACATCTGCAAAAAGTTCCATTTTCATTCTTCCAACTTCCTATCAATAAACAGAATACATGTACATGTAAAATAAAATAAAAACAAACCATACTATTTGAGAAAAATAGGTTTTAAAATTAAAATACCTTAAAAGTAAGTTTTATGACTTAATTCCTAGCTGATATTTAGTGTTTTTCACATTTATACATGAAATAACAAATAATGTACATAGAGTAAATTATGTAGATTTATGGATATTTCACGTATCAAGTAGTTAAAGAGTTCTCAACAATGTCTAAAAAAAGAAAACCATAGTAAATTGAAAATCATTTTACACATGTACAGATAATCAATAATAATAATAAAAAAAAAGTTTCATTTTTACCAGCTATCCTTTTTTCTGTAGTTATATCAACATACTTTCTTAACATCACTTGTGTTTTTGTATTAAAATGTTAGGTAAGAACACTTGCTTCTTACAAACAAACTACTTTTCACTTTCAGTAGAACAAAGAGCCAATCATGAAATTTGAATTCTTACAATTTTTTCTTATTACAGATGTAAAAGACATCACTGTGGTATCAAAAACTTTGATATGACAAACACAGATAATATAAGCAGCTAGTGCTTTCTACAACTCTGTAGGTGGGTGACTTAAAATGCACAAAAAAAACAATGTATAATGTTATGTTTATTCATAGGGAAACAGTGGAATATAAATGAAAAATTTCCTGTTAATTTCTATCTTACTTGTAAAATGTAAAATTGAAAAGCACTTTTGATTTAGTAAAATTTCTAAATTAAAAAAAAGTCGATAAAGAAAATTAATGTTTTCAACAATGAATGTTGAAAATCTACATAAAAACATAACATATTATAAACAAACTAGTTTTGTTAAAAAAATATCTAGTTTCTGTACTAGAGGCTAGTAGTAGTAGTAATAATAATACTTGTTAGTATGCTTAAAATTGAAATAATTTATCATTTGTTTATATCTATTAAAAACTTACTGCATGCCACCCAATAATGGTGACAGATTATAGTAATGTGTTACAAAAGATACAGGACCCGGCATTGCCAGGTAGTTAGGGCACTCAACTCGCAATCTGAGGGTTGCGGGTTTGAATCCCTGTTATAATGTGTCAGTCAATCCCACTATTCATCGGTAAAAGAGTAGCCCAAGAGTTGGCAGTGGGTGGTGATGACTAGCTGCCTTCTCTCTAGTCTTACACTGCTAAATTAGGGATGGCTAGCGCAGGTAGCCCTCGTGTAGCTTTGCGTGAAATTCAAAACAAACAAAGATACAGAAATGTTAAACTTAAAGGGATGTCTGAATGGAATACAGTGCAAAATCTCTAATAACTGTAACTCAGGAACGAAATAAATTAAATCACAAGTGTGATACATCATTATAATTTATAACAAGCAATGTTACTAGTACTAGTAGTACAACTAGGAGTAATACTATTACTATTAGTGAAACACTTTATAAGTTTTATTTATAACTTAAAGTGTAGGATAAATATTAATTTTTATTATCATCAATCACATACTACGGCATATATCCAGTCTATATTATATACTGTAATAAATTCGTGAGAAAGCATGTTGTTGTTAACTGCTATATTTCTCGCAGAGTCAGAGGAATTATCAAACATTATATTTCAAACAATTGGCACGACGTTAAAGCCATGAAGTAGTTATATCATAATGTAATTGGGTAATTCCCCCTCCCCATTAGAGTAATTATAATTTATAGTTATAGTATATGATAGTACAACTAGTTACTACGACCGCCGTTTGACAAATTGTGGAAGCTCGAAGTTAGGCTTTACGAATATCGTGGGTTGCATTTTAATTTCTAGTAACAATATTTAATTAAATAATTTTGGTCGATAGATCTTTCAAATTCTTGAAAAATACTTACAGTTGATCCAATTGTGATATCAAAAAACACAACAGGATTATTCGGGTGTCTTAATTGTTGTTGAATTTGATTCCAAGACATGTTTCTTAAATTCGGTATTTCAATTTTCAAAAGTATAGGTGGCGCAAACTTTTCTAAAATAATATTTTTTATGTAAGCCAATATTTTCCTAACCGGAAAAACCCACTCATTATATTCTGTCCTACTCCAAGATCGGTAAATATATACACAGCGTGGTCACAAGTAAATACACACCACCTTTTCAGAAAAAAATTAAATTTTTCAGTCATATTCACATGAACTGATATATTTATAATTTAATTAATATCGAGTAGATCTTCCTTTCGCTTCGTGGAGTTCGTTGATCCTTTGAGCATTGTGAGAATCATCTAATTAATTCTAGATTGTGGGATTTTCGCCCACTCTTGCTTCAAAACTTGGAGTAGGTCGCTCATCGAAGTTTTTTTTTTTTTTTGGTTGTTTCTTGACTTGCCGGTCGAGTATGGCCCAAAGGTTTTCGATGGGGTTCATGTTAGGAGATTGGCTCGGCCAGGGCAACTTCTGGATACCATTTTCTTCCTGACACTTTTGGGTGTTTCTAGCAGTGTGACACGGTGCTCCATCTTCCTGGAACAACGTTGTGTTATTGTCCACGAAACCCGAGGAATAAAGTGGCAAGAGTCCTTCCTCCAATATATAGAGGTATTTCCA